TATAAAATAAGCTCTTTCGAATGGTGCAATTACAAAAACAAAAAAAATTTGCCCACATTAAGTTTTAGGGGTTCAAATATATGTTGTTTTAGGGTATTTCTTTTTTGTCGCCATATTGGTCTCAGAATAACTTAACATGGCTATTTTTAACAAAGCTGATTTTTTATCCATACCATTATATTGGTACGTAGAACCTTCAGAAAAAATAACAATACTGAAAAACATTTTATTCTGGTGATATGACCCTAAGAAAAAACGACAAAAGTTTGTAGTGTTGAATTTGTGACGTTATTTGTTGAACCATATACTAAAATCTAGGCATGAAATAAAAGTTGTAATAAATAATTTGCAATCTGCACCTTCGGTTTACTAAGAATCCACGTTTTTAAGATATATAACTCTTTCATTGCAAAAATATAAGACCCCAAAAATAGGATTTTAGCAACTGACTGATATTAAAATTTAGGGAGTCCTTACAAAAAGTACTATAAAATCCAAAATAACAAACATTTTGAGCTGAAACTTTGGCAATGTTCATAAAACACGTTTAACTACATACTGACAAAATTTTATTAAAATCTGAGATGGTCGAGTGGGGATGATTTCGGATTTTGGACCGTTTGGCGTGGAATGACCCTGATACATTACATCTTTTGTAATAAATTCTTAGCTTTTCTTTTAACACATATCGTCATAATAATGATTTTTTCGAACTCTAAAATTTATTTTAAATTATGTTGTTAAATTCAATAAGGAAGCTACTAATTTAGATTCTAGTTTTAACTCTTTGAAAAAATCTTTTATCTTTTGAATTTCTAGAGCTAATTGTTAAAAATGCATTGAATTCTCATGAATGATAAGTTTATTACTCTGAAGAATTTTGTTGCAATCACCAATAGAAGAACTTTGCTCAAGATAGTTACTAACAATATAAATACAAAGGAATGTAACCATGTAACCATGGCAACGGTTTCCGCATGACTACCTGCTGGAAAATTAGCTTCATTTGTAATACAAACATTTAAATTTAGAATACCTGAATAGTTTTTTACTAATGGACGAACTGCATGGATTTGGGCGCATCGTCTAGTAGTTTATGTTAATACAAAACTGCAAGCCTTTGTTGATTTTCTATCATTATTTGATTTCACTAAGCCTCTTCATAATAAATATTTTGTGTTGCAGTTGCCTACGTGGTTGTAATGTTTTTTTAGATTATTTTTGACACCCTTTCTCCAAAAAACTGACTAACCGTATTCACTTTCCCTCAAAAAAAGTCAACACAGATAACAAAGCATTGATACTCCACACAAGCTCTCACAGCACGATTTATGTATTAGGTAGGGAAAAAAAAGGCGACGCAAATTGTGACGCAAATTTAATAGACCAACTGCAGTTAAATAGTTACTATCTAAAAATATATGTGTTTTCCATATTCCTGGATCATAACATATTGAGGCATTCGAAAAAAGGTACACTTTCAACTTTAATTTTAACAACTTCAATCTCTACGTTTTCACTAAGATTCATTTTAAGTCTCTCGCTTGTCTTATTACATTGTATCCATAAATTTTTCCAACAATTTCTTTGGAAAAATTAAGTACTGCGCGTTCATTTTAACTTTTTTGTGGCTCCGCATGTTCAATATCATTTGGGATGTTTAATCATTTTTTTATTTTCTATTAATTTGTTACCAGTAGCATTATTTTTTTCCTCATTTATATTGTTTTGTATCGAATTTTTAAATGATCTAAACCAATCTAAATTAAGTTTAGTAAAACATAAATCTAATATAATATAACATTATTATATATATATATATATATATATATATATATATATATATATATATATATATATATATATATATATATATATATATATATATATATATATATATATATATATATATATATATATAGTAGCAATTTGACACTGGCGATTAGCAGTTTTACAACTATACTTCTTTTTTATTCGTTTTGTTTTGACGTCGGAACTCATTCTACTGCTGTTTTTGTATTTTTTAACGGTTTTTTCTAGATTTGTATAATATATATGGCTGAAGATTGCCGATAGGCATGAAATTTTTAGTTCATGTCTATCGACAATCTTCAACATTCAAAAATACAACTTCAATTTTCAAAAATACAACTTTAAACTTTTAGTTTAAAGTTGTATTTTTCTATTTAATTATACTTTATATAAGTGTGTACTTTTTTTTTACTCAAGTCTGCTGCTGTTCTTATATCTGCTGCTTTGGGTTTCGCAATTCATGATTAAACAGATGACATTTTCAAACTATATCAAACATTATAGTAGCCGTAGCGCAGTGGCTTGCCTCAGAAACTAGAGACCCATGGTTCAACGCCACCTTAGGGCAAGTTTAATAATATCGGTAAAAAAAGGAGGCGTCAACTTCCTCTTCCGCGGTGTTCTATGACCGGATAATATATAACCGCGATGTATATAAGACCGTAAAGATTTCTTAGAGCATTTAAAATAATTATTTAATTTTTTAAAAATACTCAATTTTTACGAACTTTTGTTAATAATTTTTGTTTTTGTTTCGGGGACCGTTCAGACTTTAAAATTTTTTTTTGACTTTTGTTATAACGGGTCCAATAATTTGGTGCTAATTTTAACAACGAATTATTTTAATCTCGAATACAATCTTCCTCTTCAGAAGACAATTTCTACTTTAAATAAAATTCTAATCTAAATTAAATTCACTTCTAAATCTAAATTAAATTCACTCTACATACATCAGAAACATGCATCAAGATTAATTTATAATAAAGATAAATTCACTCATGCCGACCCTTTACTTAAAAATTTGAATGCATTAAATATCTATCAAATAAATATTTACCAAAATATCTAATTCATGCTCAAATACAAACTCGGACTTGTTCCGAAATACATTACTGATAGCTTTTTTCATATCAACGCAAACAAATATATCACACGAGGAACAGGCAACTTTACCCTGCCTTTAAAAAAAAACAAAATTCTCGCAATTTTCTTTTATATACCGTGGCCCATACTTACATAACAAAATAATACTTCAAAATATGGAACTTAATAAAATGGATAACCTTATTGCTCTGAAAAAAAAAACTAAAACTTATCAAAATTAACTTAACCAACTTCATCGAAATGTATTAAACAATTTGTGAAAAATATTAATAATAAAAAGCCCTACTACTTCTACTATATAGTAGATACCAAAATACTTATGTGTATTTGTTGAACTAGTTCATTAAAGTTTATTTTATGTTTTAAAGGTTCTCGATGAAAAGACTATTTTAGTCTTCTGCGAGTTTCCTTACAACAAAGAAAAATATTTTTTAAGAATAATTTTATATATATATATTCAACAACGTCCACAAGCAAGTCCCTAGTAGCCCTGTGGTACGACAGACTTGCATATATTTTTTAAATGCATGGGTTAATAGCCAGTACTTTATATTATAAACAACGAATAGTTACCTTATTTTGTACACTGTACAACGCGCATGCGCTAAACAGAATTTTGTCTTGTAAAAATTTTAATGGTACAAAAATTGTTTAATTATACGTTTTGTACTTTTATGTAAAAATATGTAATTTTGTTTTATTGAAATATATACGGATACTTGTGTTGTAAAAAAAAAAAAAAAAAAAAACAAAAAAAAAAAAATAAAAAAATAACGATAACTAAAGTTTATTTAACAAACCTTATATATTTGCAGGGGCGACGACACGGATTTCGTAGTGAAAGGAGGGGGGGGGGCACAATCGTCAATTCTTAAAAAAAGTCTTCTATATCTAGAATTTTCTTTAAAAAAAAAAATTCCTATAGAAAAAAAAGCGTACCCCACCAGCCCCTCCCCCCTCCCCCGGTGTCGTCGGCTCTGATTTGGAAACTTCATTGATTAAACGGGTGTTTCGTAAACGTTTGTAATTTAATAAACCTGTATTTTGATAACATAATTAAACCGATGTTTAAAAAACTTGTAAATCAAGCACACATTGGTAATTAAATTAAGTGGATATATAAAAGGAATTAAAATCACGCACACATTTGAAATTAGAATGAATTATAAAATTCAAAAGAAAATTAAGGTATACCTTCTATTAAATTTTTTTTGATCTTCCCATCAGCAAGCGCTAAAATTTTATTTATTTTTAATAACATATTAGTTTTAATATTATATACATTTTTTTAATGTTTAATCGTACGTATTTCACAGATGAGCAAAATGTTTTTAGTTAGTATTTTTGATAAAATACAGAAAGCGAGAGAATAAAAAGAAAACATTGCAATGAGAATAAACAGCTACAAAACCAAACAGTTTCAATACCAAAGCCTATATTTACAATTTATGATGTACAGATTATTTAATTACGAGTTGAACTTAAACTTTTTGTACTTTTACTTTTTTTATGCCGATCCCGAAATCCCGGGAAATTACGGAGACTAATCCCGGGATTTCGGGATGAACAATTTGAACGGCCATCCCTACTGCCAGTAACATTAAACAAAATATTTTTTGCATTATTCATATAATACACCACTTTGTAAAAGATAAAAACATAATAAAGAAATATGGAACTATTTCAGAAAAAATTCCCAGGATTTCCAGCACTAATGATAATAAAGGGATTTTTTTCTAGATATAAATTTCATGACTTTTCAAAAACACATGGTTTTAACAGGTTTTTAAAGACTACTGGGTACCCTGGAACTGTAAATTATTTGTTTATAAGGTCAAGCAAAAATGTTTTTAAGAAGCGAAATTATAAGTTTTAAAAACCAAATCTCCTTTTATATAAAGATCAAAATAAAATCTAACATGATTTTACATCGCAAAAATTTTTTATCATTTTTAAAATTTTTTTTCTATAATAACCTTTTTTAAAGATGTTTTTGATAAAAGAAAAAGATTTTATGAAGAGTAATTGAAGAGTCGAACTAAATTTAAAGTTCAAGAAAGAATGTACAGTTTAAATAACAACAGTTATTTTAGTCTTTATATCTTCATATAACTTCAACAACAAAAAAGTTATTTTTAAAAAATATATCAGTTTTTAATCAAAAGTCATTTTCACTACTCGCTAAAAAACATGTAGAAATTTCGCTGTCACTGGTTTCGTGCGACGTATTATTTACTAACTGCACATCTTTAAACTTTATTAACACATTCTTTCCTAAGGAAAATTCATTTTCAAATAAGCAACAAGAGGAAACATCAGACTGGCTTTCATTTACGTCTACATAGACGATATCTTGAAAGTCTATGTCAAGTTTGTTTGTAGTAATAGCATTTTGGATTGAATCTTTGCCGCATTCTATAAAATGTACTTCCGAATCTTTTATTGTCTCAACAGATGATATAACTGCGCGATCATAAAATGAAAGCTTTCGCTTACTGTTGTTTGTGGATTTAATGGAACTCTTAAAAATTAAAACAGTTCAATATATTAAATAATTAATTAAAAGATGCAATGCAACGATTAAACAACTAGTAATTACATAAGATATTAAATTCAAGAAGCTAATAGATTTTTGTTACCTTCATGCATGAAGCAGGCGTTTCATTTAAATTATCGTTATCGTAGTCTTTTTCGTAAATAGTTTCGGGCTAAAAAGTTTTTTCAAATGTTTGTGTCATACTGTATTTTGAAATAAAATGTTATCTAGAAAAAAAAACTTACTAAATTTAACTGATCTTTGTAGATTTTATTAGAGTATAAGATTGAATGTGAATCGCTTACCAAATTAATTTTTGGAATATCAAAAACGTTTTCATATTTTGACTTTTTATCCTTCCAAGAAACTTTTTTATTGCATATATCTTTATTTACAATTAAGTCGTTTGAATTAAATACTTCCTTTTTTTTAATATATTCAATCTTTTTATTTTCAGTTATTTGTTCAGCACAGTTTCTATAAATTATATTCATTCTATCTTTTGATCTCAAATTATACATATGTGGTTGATTGGCTCCAAGACTGCCAACACTTAATGGACGCTTTGCTGCTACAGCAAGCTTTTTGCCTTTCATTCTAACGAATAATTCTTTTTTAATGTTACCTTGCTTTACTGCTTTTTTAGGTGTAATTTTCATTGTAATCCTTTTCTTTCTTCGCTTGCGTTGAGTTTTAACTTTTTGTTTTATTTCGTTTTGCTCTTTTTTACAACTAATTTCTGATAGTATTTCGCTTTCATATGTTGTTTCTTGCACATAATGATTAAATTCAGAGATTATAGGAGAAGGTTCATTTAGCTGTTTTATTTCATTCTGTTCAATGTTTGTTTTGCTTATTTTTATTTCATTCTGTTCAATGTTTGTTTTGCTTATTTTTATTTCATTCTGTTCAATGTTTGTTTTGCTTATTTTTAAATTAGCTGTACTCGTAACCTTTTTATGATCACAAAAATCCTCCATTAGTTGATCTTTTTCCTAAACAAGAAATCCGAATACTTTATAAGTTGACGTTTTAAACAAATAAAATCTCCACAAAACTTAAATATATATTTTTTTAAATACTGTAGAGAAATAGAAAATAAAGTTAGGCTATAAATTGGTACATTAGCTAAATCAGAAGCGTTCAAAAAACATAACACAAAGTAATCACAAATGATCTGCAAATTTTAAAAACTATAAATACTTAAAAATGTTATGTAACTTGCTCTCAGAAGAAAATCACCACATTTTCCAAAATGAAAAATTATGAAAAAGAAAAACTAAACAGCAAAATAATTTGATTAATCAAGACAACTATTTAGATTAAAAGAATTTAAAATTATTTAAATAAGTTTTTTGCTTTTCAAGCCCTTTTAAGACCTGTTTTTGCCTAAGATGGTATATTTTTAAAAAGTATTAAAACTAACTATTTCAGTGTTACATGCATCAGTTTTGCTTACTATGATAAAGACAAGTACATGTATATAGCAGAGGTAACTTGCGGTCGTGGTGGTTATGGAGGTTGGGAGATATAATAAAAAAAAGAAGCTATTCTAAGTATCAAAAATAGCTCCTTATCTTTAAAGATTTCTTTAGTTTTTTAAATTGTCGTTATTTGGGATGATTAATTGCTTAACTGTCTCTTTGTAGCTTCAGTCAAAAATGGCTTTCTACTCTACTACTAGGTAGAAAAGCTGACGTTGACTGCCATTTTTACACAGAAATTTCATCACTAAATAATGGTGCTGCTTGATATTTATTTAAATACCATAACTGAACTTTAATTTTATATTTTGCAACATTTGGTACTTTGCAGACAAATTTAAAATATTTTTTGATTAACTTTAAAAGAAGATCATTTTTTGGCGCCTCTGTTGTACAAGAAGCTGAAAACCAGAAATGCACATATATTGTGGTTATGAAGAGACATATTTTTCTTAAAATATCAACTTTTTTCTGTGACATTTAAACTGATGACGAAAAAACAGAAAATTTTTAAACAATATATACCTTTAGCCATCTATCTTGCATGATGGTAAGCTCTAGGAATGCAAACAGATGTTGTACCATTACCTTCTCCCAAAAGGAGAAGTGTTAGTCTTCCAAATTCCTTATAATTATCACAAGCTTGAATGCCATTCAAGTACTCTTTTAATTTCTTTAACATATAGGGTTTTCAGGATGCAAGCCATTCTTTTTTAATCTTTTTAAGGCAACCAGTTCCACTTTAACTATTTTCAAGTGTTTCAAACTGTGATTTTTCTATTAGCTCCCACTAGGACTTCATTCTACCAAAAAGTTCAATGTTTGGTCATTATGATTTCATGTATTACTTGCACTTGTGTCAAAGCAATGACCTGCAAAATGCTACTAAACCCATGGCCACGCTGCAAAATGCTCCTCAAAGCTGGTCATGAATGAGCTCAAATACCTTCTCTCCCATCAGAGCACCAGTACCAGCAGGCATCTCAGGGATACCTAATAATTTTTCACATATTGTAATATTTTGCCCTCAAAATGAGCAACTAGTGGAACCAAGGATTGAAAATCTTTTCTTACTGCTCAAGGAGTGAATTCAAATTTACTAGATTGCAAAAATGCAACATCCTGTAAATATACTTGCTCCTATTGTAGCATATTTACAGGATGTTGTTCGAGCTTCCATTAAAGAGGTATGAGAAATTGTTAATTTATTTACATTTATACTATTTGCAACTAGGACTGATGCGACGACCATCATTGCTTGTCATGGTGTTGTTTTTGTTTGGACTAATGCTGCATTAAAGAGTTGATTGTCAAGAATAAAACAATCGGATACAATTGATAGTTGAATAGTGCTCAAAGTCATCATCATCATCATCATCATCACCATCATCATCATCATCATCATCATCATCATCATCATCATCATCATCATCGTCGTCATCATCATCATCATCATCATCATCATTATCATCATCATTATCATCATCATCATCATCATTATCATCATTATCATCATCATCAAGCTTCATCATCATCATTATAAAGCTTCAGCCTTTTCCTTTTAAGCTATTTCTTTAATATAAAAAATTTTAAGTATTTTCATTCCTTAAATAAAGCTTGTTCATACCATATGTAATGAACTTTCTCCAAGTTTTCTTACTTCTATCTCTACCATTTTCTCCTGAAGTTGCTACTTCTCTACATGCTTATATCCAAACCATTTTTTATGAAAAACTTGTTTATTTTTTTTAACCTCTGTCTAAGATTACAACAAGGAACAAGGAAATAGAACCTTCGTAGAACCTTTAGATACCAGAAGTTACTAGAAATGATGAAGACTATTGGTCTTCATGGATGACTTTAATAAAGTGCTTAGAAATTATTCAATAATCTTAAAAATTTTCCCAGATACACAAATATTTATACAAATCTGTAAATATATTGTATGCTAGCATCTAAATAAATAGAAAACATATATGTTCATATCCTTATATATGCATATTGTGTATGTATAAATGGGCCTCTTACCTAACCTTCTGGATCCAAGCAAGTATAATAGCTTTTATTTTTATTGTTGGTTTCAAGTCAAGCCTCATTCTATTTCACATTTTTCACCTTCTTGTGCACTTGCTATATTAAACTGTAATAACTTTTTTTATCCTTTTTACAAGAATAGAGTAAAACAGGGTAAAGTGAAAGAGGGGGTAGAATGAAATAATTATGGCACTGTTTATTCTTTTGCTCTTAATCAATTATTGGATAATTTTTTTTCAAATATTTAAAAATCAAATTGTATAGAATACTTTTCTGAGTAAGATGATATCAAACTTTATTTTTAATGAAAAAAATTTGTTCCAAATTTTTTTCATTAAAAAAGTTTTCATATGCGTAATAAGATCTTTTTTTATTATTTTGAAAAAATGAACTTAAAACTCTCGGAAGTTAAATGTGATATCATTAAACTTAAAAAGTTTTCTAGTGTAACTTTTTACGCTGATCAAGACTCTTTTTTCAAAATTAAATTTGCTATTTAGGAAAAAAAGTTACGTGTAAAAAACAGAAAAAGAGAATTGTGGGGTTGAATGCAATACACTGATAATAAGTGAAGCAATAGCTCACTTCTTAAATGCGTTTTTTTTTTAATTAAATCTCAAGTGACCAATAAATCTCTAACTATAAATTTTCTGTATTGAAAAAATTTGTTCAATGAAATTTTTCTGTATTTAATGAATAACTTTTATTGACTGCTTTTATTAAATGATTTTAATGAATGAATGAAATACGTTAGTTACTCTCTTGTTAAATGCGGTTTTTATTAATTAAGTCTCAAGTGATCAAGCTATCTCTATAACTTTTGTGCATAAATTTCAAATGGATTATTGTTAAATCTATTTTTAATAAAAAATATGCCTCGAAACAACTTGCATGCAAAAAAAAAAAAAAAACTATACACCAAAGAGCAAGTTGCGCTTGCAACTTGCTCTTTGGTGTATAGTTTTTGCTATTCGCTTGCCAATTTCCCACCGGGGTATTTTTAGACAATAATGATGTTTAAGAAAAGAAAAAGAAAATGTTGTAGAATTTGGTCGATTGTGATGTTCCTGAGCAGTCTTTTTAAAGAGGTGAGAAAATGGTTCAAGGACAATGTCAGTCAAACATTAACTTTGTTTAAAAAGTTTGTGAAGCTGATTGAAAGTACAAAGAGTGAATTTTCACTTAACAAATCTTCTAAATTATTCAGCATACCAGTAGCGGCTCTTCACAGGCGTGTCCACAGCATAGGTGAAACAGTTGGCATAAGTTCAAGCACGACATTGTCAAAATAACTTGAATCAGTTTTGGTAGATTAACACACTCATTAAGTTATCCGATTGGGGCTTTGGTAGAACTTACAATAACGTCATCACACTAATTACTAACAATTTGCAACACCAAGGTCAATCTCATTTGTTTCCTAATGGTACACCAGAAAGAGATTGGTATAACCTTTTCATAAACCGGTGGAGTCATAGGTTGATCATCAGAGCCATAGGCATTATTTCATCACTCAGAACCACTCCTTGCTCACAAGAAATAGTAGCAAAGTATTTCAACACACTGAGTATTTCACATTGAGTATTTCAACACTCCATGTCATTTGTGGAATTTTGATGAAATCTCTGGTGATCAAGGTAAGCAAAATATAGTTTGCCGGCATGGTGCAAAACAACCATTGATATTGGTTAGCAACAATACAAAAAATACATTATACAGTTGGAAATTGCATTAATGCTAATCCATACATCATTTTTAAATCAAAAAAACATCTGTACAAAGATTCGTGTTTAAGAAAATTCCAGGTAATTAGTTCAGTTTTAGTTATCTAATTTTATATATATCTAATTTTACATTCACAAAAGTTACATCGATCTAGTCATAGTTATCTAATTTTAGGTATTCATATGACCCGATAAGTGACACATGTCACTTATCATGTTTTATTTGTTCATATTTTAGTTGTAGATGGACATGTGACACATGTATGTTTTAATGTTCATATTTTAGTCATAGATGGACATGTGACACATGTCACTTATCGGGTCATACTTGCTTGCATTGAAAACAATACCTTGTTAATTTGCTTACCAGCTCACTTGTCGCATATTCTGCAGCCATTAGATGTTGGTGTTTATAGCCATCTCAAAAGAGTTTGGCACAAATTACTTCAACAGTTGTATGCAGAGACAAAGTTCAGCAACTTATCAAAAGAATATTTAATCACCTGCAAAAAAAGGTTTCAGTTCTAGTAAACTTTCTACACGTACCCAAATAGTCACTGGGTTTAAGAATACTGGCTTGTTTCCACTCACAATCAACAAAATTGATCAGTCTAAGTTGCAAATTGCTAATACATTTGAAACACCGTCATCTGAACCTGAGCCTTCATCATCTCAACAACCAGAATCTATGATAGTACCATTACCAATACTAGCACCAGGAACTATGCTACCTCATCCACTGCCCTATGAATCTACACCAACATCTAGGATCAGCATGTCACAAAAAATCAGCTCCAAAGCCACCTCAAAAATCACCCTGTCTACAAACAACCTTCAATGTTTTACTCCGGCTATTCAAAAGGAAATTCAAAAAGAGGTTGAAAAACAACTGCAATCAGCCCAATCACTTGCAGCAGCTTTGCAACAAATATTTTGTATCCAACACGTTGACACAAAAAAAAAAAAAAAAAAAATGTTAATGTGTCAAGATTTGAAGGGGAGTGTCTCAACAAACCTGAAATACTTGAAAGTTTGAAACATGCTGAGAGCAAAAAAGCAGTGAAGCAAGCTAAAAAACAATGTAAACTTAGCACTAATGGTGAACAGTAAATAAACCAAGAAACAAGTCCAACAAAAATATTAGCTGCAAACCAAGTAAAAAGGGCCGAAAAGTTTTAGGTGAAGCTTCAGAAAGTCAAAATATGGAATAGTACCAGTGTGAAAATTCAGATTGCAAGGATTGGCTATGTCAAACATGCATACCAAAACGATACATAAAAGGTGCAGAGTTTTATTGCATCAAAAAGTGTCGCACAACTGCAAACTCAACTTAACCTCTAGTACCTCTAAACGACTCAACATCATCACAAAAAAAAAAAGTTTATTTTACTTGATTGATTTTTTAATTGTTATTATTGATTGTTTTTCAATTGTTATTATTGATTGCTATTTGTTTTTTTAATAAAGTGTTATTTTAATCACACATATATTTGCGTATTTCATTCTTCCCGAATGTCAGTGTAGAATGGAATAAATTTTTTCCATTATTCTCAGTTGAATTAATCTTATCTCAGATTTTAGTCCCGGTGGGAAATAAGCTAGCGACTAGCTAGCTCTATAGCAATTTTCTAGCGATTTTTTTTTTCTTATTTTATTTTTTGCAAATGTCTTTAACATCTTTAAAAATTCGATTTTTAGTGTTGAGTCTATTATAACTATGAAAATAATTGAACTTTAAACATTGCGATTTTGTTGCAATGTGTCGCTAGCTACATATCGTAGCTTTGTAGCTAGCCACAAAATATTTACAAATCTATAGCTGGTTGATAGCTACATATCAAAATTTTTTAGACAACGATTTTATTACGATATGACGCTAGGTACATTAGTCAGTGGATCTTCAGCTTATTAAGCTAGCTGTCCTCGTAGCCAAATCGCTGTTTTTATCTTTAAAAATATTGATAGCTTTTTGCTAACTTAAAAAAGCTAGCGATCCTCGTGGCCAAATCGCTGTCTTTATCGTAATGATTATAGCTAGCTATTCGCTAGCCGATTTCCCACCAAAGTATTTTTAGACAATAATGATGTTTAAGAAAAGAAAATGTTGTAGAATTTGGTCGATTGTGATGTTCCTGAGCAGTCTTTTTAAAGAGGTGAGAAAATGGTTCAAGGACAATGTCAGTCAAACATTAACTTTGTTTAAAAAGTTTGTGAAGCTGATTGAATGTGTCAAAAACTGTGCTGAAAAAAATATCTAACTGATCAAGGGCTTTGATGGAGCCTACTGGTCAGGCAATATGAAACAGAAAGGTATGTTGTTCACCATAAGAACTTAGAAAGAATTTTAAAAAGAAGCAGCATCAAAAATGTTTAATTTCTTAAACTAAATATTATTAAGTGAGTTTCTAAAATTTGAGATTTTTTAAACTGGAATTTAATCTCAAAAAAGTTTATATTATTAAGTTTTTAAAATCCAAGACTTTTTTTCCTTAAAACATTTCATTTTTAAAAAAAATGAAGTTTGATAGATATATCACTTTTCCACAAGTAAAAATCATGTAGGTGGTATTTTTAGTCTATTTTAATCTTGATAATGGAAAAATCTTAAGAGGTTGTTTTTTTTTTTGGTACACTATAATATACATATACTAATTATATTATTATATGCATAATTTAATAACAAAATAAACTCATACAAAATGATCACTTGATCTTTTTCTGCAATGTTTCTCTGTGGAAGCCAGCCATTTTTTAACTTTAGAAGCAGATGATTCAAATCCACAGTTCTTAGAACTCTGCAACAGAAAATTAATAATTTTTAATTATTTCAACAAATACGTAAACATATAAACAACTTAGTAATTATAAAGCATGCACAGGTAACAATTTAGATTATTAACAGACTTGTTACTAAAATATTATAAGAAAACTTACGATTAAAAGACCTTAATCACTTGATATATGGATATTACAAGGTCTTGAACCAAGCATGAAGCCTCTTTGAGACTTACAATAAACTTAAAAAAGTATTTTATACCCTGATTAAAATAAAAATGTAATTACCTGAAAAGCTCATTTCAAACTAAACCAAATTTGATAAGTCAAATTAAACATCAGAAAATATGTATAATATTTAGAAAATATGTATATATTTTTAGATTTTATAAAGTAATAACTGCATTCCAAATAAGAAAAAAGCAAATACTGTGTTGGTACATTTTTTTTAAAGTTGAAAAGTTGAACTCATATTATCAAAAAAAAGATATACAATTGAACTCTTTTGTCCATCTAAAGGTATTCAATTTTGTTATGATAATTGCATATAAAAAGTCTAGTGAAAACACATTATTCATATAAGTCATAAACTATACCTAAGGCCTCTACAGGATTAACATATTTGACAAACTTAAACCTTTCTTTAATATATATATATATATATATATATATATATATATATATATATATATATATATATATATATATATATATTTTTTTTTTTTTTTTTTTTTTTTTTTTTTTTTACAAAAGCAAAATAAAAAGATTTATCTTGTAAAATATAAACTCTTTTATACTCTTATAAAATTACTAATTTTCAACTGCTTTTCAACTAATTTTGATTTTTTAGCAACTTGTTCTGTTTTGCCAGGAACCATTTCTAGGTAATTCATAACATGTTTCTTTTTTATAATTTTTAAAGTATTCAGTCAATCTATTTCTACAAAAGTTGAACACTGATTTAACAAAGCTGTCAAAATAAATTACTACAATATGCTTCTATTAAGTTTTTACTGTTTTGAAAGCTATAACATTTAGTGTTTGCAAAAAATAACTTGCGTTTGTGCTTGTCAAATAAAATTATATTGCTTAAGTTCAATTGTTCAAACTGCTTGAGATCTTTTTATGTCTAAATTTATAGAAAATGTACTGGTAAATGTGAACACATGCAAAAAAAAAAGAAGCTCAGATTAAATCTATAGAAAATGTACTGGTAAATGTGAACACATGCAAAAAAAGAAGCTCAGATTAAATTTATAGAAAATGTACTGGTAAATGTGAACACATGCAAAAAAAAGAAGCTCAGATTAAATTTATAGAAAATGTACTGGTAAATGTGAACACATGCAAAAAAAAAAAGCTCAGATTAAATTTATAGAAAATGTACTGGTAAATGTGAACACATGCAAAAAAAGAAGCTCAGATTAAATTTATAGAAAATGTACTGGTAAATGTGAACACATGCAAAAAAAGAAGCTCAGATTAAATTTATAGAAAATGTACTGGTAAATGTGAACACATGCAAAAAAAGAAGCTCAGATTAAATTTATAGAAAATGTACTGGTAAATGTGAACACATGCAAAAAAAGAAGCTCAGATTAAATTTATAGAAAATGTACTGGTAAATGTGAACACATGCAAAAAAAAGAAGCTCAGATTAAGAGTAAAAGAATAGGACCATTCAATCATTTTGTTCTATTCTTTAAGTCTTTTAAAAATTTCTTAGTAGAATAATAAAAAGCTTGAATTCAAACTTTATTAAATATTATTAACATGTTTTTACTTTTTGAATAAAATTTTGTCAACTTTACTGTTTTTCACTACTTTAGGAAAAAGAGCTGTGGCTAGGGTACCCCACGCCCACCAATTTAGAAAGGGTGAGAGCAAAATTTAGGGGGCTAATTTGCTAATTTAGGGGCCTTTTCGGAAACTTAAAGCTATTTTTTTTTTTTTTGGATGGTTTAAAAATCTCCAAAAAATGAAAAAAGTTTTTAAACCTTAAAACTTTTAGCTAAAATAATTTTTTTTTTTAAATCTAATGTGCAATACTTTATTTGAAACAATAAATTTTTATACTAAAAATAAAAAATTTTTCTTAAAAGAAAGATGCTCCTAAAAATATTTATAGTAATAAAAATATTATTAGGAACAACTATTAGTAATAGGAATATTATTTAAAAGTTGGCTTAAAATTCGATTGTGCAGTCACTGATGAAAAAGTTATGTATCACATATACATATTCACTGCATTTTTTGTTAATGAGAACAAATAAAAAATAATTTGAAAAAAATAAATAACTTGTTAGAAGAAATTTCCTAGATAATTAGTTTTTATAATACTTGCCCCATACATTATATTCAAAACCATATGCCTCACTATCTATGCTGAGATATTTTGTTGACAGATCAGAAATGTTTGATGGTTTTTAATAATGAGTTTTTTTCGTAACTTAAATTTCTCATTCCATATTTACTTTTCTTTAGGATTTTACTTTTTTTAAATTCAAAATCATTCAAAAAGAAGTAGTTAGCTATCAATGTAGCAAAACCTTATTTGAAGAAAACATAGAAAGGCTCTAAATGTTTTTTTCTCTTACTATTAACTTTTAATATTTAAAAATATTAACAAACTCCAATCAAATTTGATTATTTGGATCAAAGATAAACCACACTATGTATACAACACCATACCACAGTTTAAATGGTAAATTTTTAAATATATATTTTTTTGAAACTAAACTTTACTTACTAAAAAAGATTCAAGCAAAAATAACATCAAAAATTACTACTATTTACTTGAAAAAGTCTTTAATCAATTTTTATTTATCACTGACATGATACAATATATGAATAAACCAATTTTGAACATCTAATCATTGACATTATTTACATTTCATTTAGTATTTTTTCATGATAAACAAAGGTTATAACTACTAAAACAACTTTAACCTTAAAATTTAACCTGATATACCTATCAGACATGCAAAAGCCTGTAAAATAAAAACAACCTAACTCATTTAATATTTAAAACATGTAACCAGGATATTTGAGTTTTTTACTTTTAAATACAAATTTTAAAATAATTTTTGAATGATCTACTAAAATCTTTTTCAAGTTATTTGATAACTACTTTATATAATTATCACCCAGTGGGCATGGGACATTAAAAAGATCTCTTTTGAACATTTTGGGCGTCTTTTAAACGTTCAAAAAACATCTTTTTTAGGTCCAGCGCCTACTGGGCAACTCATAAATAATTATAACCAAAAAAACTAATTTATATAAAAATAAAAATTTTAAAATTGTCAAAACTTATTCCAATAATTTTTGTAAGTTTCCATATAAAAGATTTCCCAAAGAGTTTTCTGGAAATTCACTCTGAATAAAAGTGTGATACACACTTTAAAAATTAATAAACATTAAACAAAATTTATTTGTATAATGTATTGTTTTACTGTGTATATATAGTTTTACTTTGCACAGTTTTACTTTGTACAGTTTTACTGTATATAGTGAGATTTAAAATACAATCAACTTAGGTATTATTCATATGAAAAAAAAAAAAAAAAATTAAATAAAACTTACAACAACAGGTTTTGTTAAAGACACTAAAATTTCTTTTTGAGAAGAAACTTCTAAAAGAAGAAAACTTATAAGTGATTAAAATTCACAATAAAGACCATTTATATTGTGACAGTAAAGGAAATGGGGTCAGTCATTTTAGAAACAGTCATTAAAGAGTCACAAGGAAAGAAGTTGGTAAAGTGACAAAAAATTATTTTAACTTCAATCTGCATCAACTATTGGGTAGTAATTATACTTTAAATTCAAATATGGAAATTTTTCATACAAGAGTTAATAAAATTTTTCAAGCATTTCTTAATAAATAACGTAACTTGGATTTCTAGTAGAAAAAAAAATTCAAATAACTAAAATTTAATACTACTGGAAACACACAAAAATTTCAAACAAAAAATGAGGGTCTCAAGAAACAAATAACATTTCTTAGGCAAAAACAGCACCTAAATTACGTAAAAATAACATACAAAAAATTAACAAACCTAATTTTTTGATTGGTGAATACTCAGTAGCAATCATAGATTTTTGAAAAGGAAGTCCACCTGTACATACAGTAGAATTCGGATTATTAGACAAGGCTACAAATAAAATTTTTGCTAAAAAGTCAATTTTCACAACACATATAAACACGCAATTTACTTGTTCATCAATTTTACAAAGAACAAAGCTAAAATTTGTTTGAGTGTGTGTGTGTGTGTGTTCAGATATCAACTATATCATTAACAATTGGTAATTTTCAAAATTTTTGCATTTTTAAAGAGCATTGAATGTTTAGAAATATAAATGTATAATGTTTTTACAAGACAAACTATACAATTTATATACAAATTTTATAAAAATATATAAAGACTTTTTTAGATTAGTGTTTAGATGTCATAAAAAAGTGTAGAAAAAGAAAAGAAAAAAAAAAAGAAAAATGAAACCTATTCCATAGTGTTTCCAGGCCTTGGGGAGGTGAATGTATAAAAAAAAGAAAATTTCAGAAATTTTACCTATTTTTCCATTTAATTCTACAGCATTAGCCTTTTTAATTGATCGAGCTGCTAAACCGAGTTTTGAAACTTTTCTTGTATTTGACCATCGCATTTTACTAGAACACTCTGTAGCAAAGTCAAATTTAGTTATTAATGGTATTCGTGTTAAAGTTTGTCCATTATTCTTTTCACAAGGATGAGGTGTCTTTATATTAACAGTTTCCCATTCTGTTTCATTTACTTCCTCCATTATATTCTTCTGATTAAATTTAGGTGTTTCACTATATATATATATATATATATATATATATATATATATATATATATATATATATATATATATATATATATATATATATATATATATATATATATATATATATATATATATATATATAAAGTTTTATTTAAAATATTTATACATATATATATATAAAAACACACTTTAGTAAGTGTATATATATATATATATATATATATATATATATATATATATATATATATATATATATATATATATATATATATATATATATATATATAAACACACTTTAGTAAGTGTATATATATATATATATATATATATATATATATATATATATATAAAGTTTTATTTAAAATATTTATACATATATATATATATAAACACACTTTAGTAAGTGTATGTATATATATATATATATATATATATATATATATATATATTATATATATATATATATATATATATAAAGTTTTATTTAAAATATTTATACATATAGATATATATATATAAACACACTTTAGTAAGTGTATGTATATATATATATATATATATATATTATATATATATATATATATATATATATATATATATATATATATATATTTAACTGAGGTTCTGTGTCACTCATATAACTAAAAACTAGTCATTGGAGTGACACCAAAACACACAAACACACGCACACACACACACAAAATTACAAAATAATATAAGCAATACATAGAAATACAGGGTCAGGGCAATAACATCCATTTTTGCCATGTATAATAACATCTGTGAAACAACATCCGAAATTTCATCAATGTATAATAACAACCGTGCAACAACATCCCAAATTTCATTAATGTATAATAACGTCCGTGCAATAACATCTCAAATTTCATTGATGTATAATAACATCAGTGCAACTACATCTGTAGATTTTTCATCCGATTTTTTTTTTTTTTAAAGGCATAATTTTAATCAGATGTAGTTACGCATCTGATTTTTTTCAGATGTAACAACATCTGTCAAAAAAAAATTATTATAATGCATTATTTTAACCAGATGTAGTTACACATCGGATTTTTTTCGGATGTAACTACATCCGCCAAAAAAAATTATTATAACGCATTATTTTAAGCATAATAATTTTTTTTTATTTTTTGATAGACTGCCTGCCCAAACCAAACCCTCAGTCAATGTACCAGCACTCCGTTGCGAGTCAGGCTATTTGTCAGTCGATGTAGCAGCGCTTATATAATATAATAATTATTATGTAACTTATATATGTAACTACATCCGGATTTTTTTTTTTTTAATAATGCATTATTTTAACCAGATGTAGTTACACTTCTGATTTTTTTCGGATGTAACTACATCCGGAAAAAAAGTAATTTAAAAATACATTATTTTAACTAGATGTAATTACACATCTGATTTTTTTCGGATGTAATTACGTCCGGAAATTTATTTTATTTTTTAACTTATTTTTAATAATGCATTATTTTAGGCCGATGTAGTTACACATCGAGAAAAACTCTCGGATGTAGTTACATCTTTCTAAAGATGTTATTAGACATCAATGAAATTTTGGATGTTGTTGCACAGATATTAATTCAGTAAAGAAAAAAAGCTACACTACTCCATGGATGTTGTTGGACAGATGTAGTAATCTTTTACCGAAATACACACCAACATAAAAAATACACAGAAACACACTACAATATGAAAAATCTAATCAATTTAAATCAATAAAACTTAAAAAATTACTCTATTTTTTTACTTTCAAAACATAAGTTTTTGGTGATAGAACAATTTGATCCATTTTATTATGTTAATAAAGTTCTTTTTTATTGTTTTCCATTCATATTCATATCCATTTTCAAATTTATTATAAATATTTTTTCTTTTAACTTTGTTTTAACTTTTAGTTTTTGTTTTTTTTTATATTTTTTCTTAAATTTTTTAATTTATAATATTTAATATTTTCCTTGTTTACATTTTATTGATGCCTTTTTTAAATCTTCTATTCTAATTAATTTTTTTTTATGTTTGCTTTTCTAATTCATGAATTCTTCTCCATTGTTTTAAATGTCTGTTAAAAGTGTAAACTATTTATCTTAATGAAATTTACCCCTTAATTATTTTTTAAAAGCAAAGATAAAACTATACAAAATAAGGTATCCATAAAATAATCAATAGTTATTACTTGCTAATAAAAAATAAAATTTTTATTCAAGGGCGATTCTAGGAATAAAACTAAATGTTTTGGGAAGAGGGGAAAATCCTTAAAAACTTAAAATATATACCTTCATATTCTATATATAAATTCTATATTTTTACATATTAAAAGTATCATACTTTTATTATATATATACTTATATTATATTAAAAAATCATAAGCAAAGTTTTTGAGTCCTAATTAAGTCTTAATTAAAGCAAACACTTAATCTCTCATCTTGAACTAAAACAAACACTTAATCTGTTATCTTGAATCTAATAACAGTTTAGCATTTGAGCATTTGAGCAAGGATCTCACTTCTGCTACAGCATGGGGCTCTCAGTGGCTATTGAACTTTTTTTCAGCTAATCGTTATCACAACTATATAGATCTTCTTACATTTGTAAACGGTAATCAGCAACGTATCCAGGCCGATTTTGATACCGGTATGGGCCCCCAAATTTCAGCCCAAACTCATTTTGAAAAAAAATTTTGTATTAGCATCAAGTTTGTGATAAAAAAATTGTTACTTATTGTGTTGTTATTTTGTAATATTAAAATTCGTTATCATAATTACAAAATTGTTTTTAATGTTGTTTAGAAAAAACAAAGTTTTAAAACTGATTAAAAATGTCAATCAGAATACTTAATTTGAATTCACGCGAATAAGATATGGAATATGTTAATATTGGATTAAAATGTGAAATGCACTTTTTGATTTGATAAAAATAAGAAACGCTTAGCATTTTATATTTTTATAATTTCTTTTAATAAAACATTAACTTGTTTCAAAATATACTTAAAATGAGTTTCTCCTCCGCTAATGTTTTTATACCTATGTTTTACAATGTGATTAAACTCTATAAGCTTTAAACTTTGTTATTTTAAATAACAGTAAAATTGCAGTAAAAATGTAAATAAACGGTTTTGATTAATAAAATAAATAAAAAAATTTTAAAACGTAATAACATAATCACACCAAAAAACTTGATTTAATAAGTAAGCGAAGAAAAAAAAAAGTTATTTACTTTTGAATGAATTAATGACCTTGCTTGTGCTTTGAATGAATTAATGACCTTATATGCTTTTGTTATAAATGAATTAATGACTTTGCCATGCTATTACTCTGCGTTTTATGTTTTTATAAACTTTAATTACTAAAATTTGTTCGTAAAAGTTCAAATAATATGTTTAAATTATGTAATATGGGTCGATTAAAGACATCTTGTAGAAGCCACAACAAAAATTCGTCCACATGCAGACCTTTACACAATAAAAATAACAATGCAAAATCTGGACAAAATTTAATTTTTGAAGCACTCGCTGTTAACCAAACTACAAGACACAAAACAAGTTCAAGAAGAGGTAGATCAGCAGTTATTTACTGAAATAAGAATAAACGAAAGCGAAATTAATATTGTTCGTAAATCAAACGATAGCATTATCCCTAATATCAACGAACATGATGTGTCACCAATCTCAGCAAAAATGGAAAACAATATTTCCAATTGCTATTTATTCTGCAAAAGATCAAGGCTGGTTATGTAGTATTTGTAAAGAAAATGGGAATATCAGAGAGGTGTGGAGAACTAAAGGTGCAAAGCTTTTTGAACATCCACAAAGGACATTTACTGCACATTAAAATTCAAAGAGACACCAGGATGCTATCGATAAACGTCAACAGGTCAAAAAATACTTTCAACCAAAGAAACTGTATACAATCAGATGGTTGATGGCAGCTTGCAATACAGAATTTTGGACAAATAGTGCAACCATAACAACATAAAAAAGTTTTTTAAAACTGTTTACTTTGTTATTAAAAATAACTGGGCAGTCTAGGAAAACTTTAGTCATATTGTTGAATTCATTTGAGATCTTGGCGATAAGGATATAGATTAACACTTTAAAATTACTAGCAAACAAGCTTTATACTATTGAAGAAACATTTCTTGGTTTAGTCCAAGTTATTGGAAGAAAAGGTGCGCAAACCTTTTGTGAACAAATACAACTAGTTTTAAAATCTAAATCGATAGATATCCAGCAAAACCGCTTCCAAGGCTTTGATGGAACTAACACAATGAGTGGGGTGCGTAATGGTCTACAAGCTAAAAAAAATTTCTTACAACTCAATGTGTATTGCCTGTCGTTGTCATTGTTTAGCTCATGCACACTTAATGAAAGAATTTGATGTCCTAGATAGTGTTGATGCTAATATTACGGGAGTTTGGAAAGCAATAAAATATTCCAGTGTAAAGGGGTATATATTCAATGCAGTGCAAAATGCTGACGGTTTACAACTCGTTTCAAGATTTGAACAAGTTATAAACAGCTTTGACGCAATTGATAATGAGAAATACGAGACAGAGTTGGACGGTCTATCATACCATTTACTTGTTCCTGATAATATACTATTTTTGCTTTTACTGGCTATTTTAGACCCTATAAATAAATTGGCAAAGTTTTTGCAAATGCAAAACCTAGTATACTCAAAGATAAACTTGAAAAATTTCTAAAATGAACTTAACAATATAGCCAACAGTAAGAGTCCATTATTTAACACTCATTCAAATAAATTTTTCAATATATCTAAAGAGTGGCACCTTGATTAAGAAAAAATAATTTGTATAACACAATGTCAACAACAGAAACAAAAATAAAGAAAGTAAAATTGCCATTTATGAGGAGTTTAAAAAAGGAAATCAATGCAACAATGTGAATGAATGACAATTTATTTTTAGCGTTTGCTGCATTTAATGCAACTGGTGATAATCAAGATCCCAACAAATTTTCAACTAACATTAATAAACTTTCCCAGT